CTAAACCCTAAACCCCTAAACCCCTAAACCCTAAACCCTAAACCCTAAACCCTAAACCCTAAACCCTAAAACCTCAAACCTGAACTCCTAAACCCTAAACCCTAAACCCTAAACCCTAAACCTTTAAGGAATCCTTTAAGGCCCCCTGGACGAACCCTAAAGCCACTCCGGCCTTGATTGTTGCTGTTATGCCCTGCGGTGGTGGACATCCGCGACGCCGCAGGGGCCGCCTACCGTTGTGCGCTTCAGGGTTTAGGGTTTTTGGTGCGTAGGGCCCTAAACCCTAAACCCTAAACCCTAAACCCTAAACCCTAAAGCCTAAGCTTAGGGTTTTGGGTTTAGGATTCTTAAGGTAGGGCTCTTTGTTTGCACTTAGGGTTTGGGGGTTCGGAGTTCGGGTTTAGCCCTGAGAGCCTGAGCCCCGAGCCAGACAGTTGGGGATGTAGGGTTTGGGGTTTAGAGTTTAGGGCTTAGGGTTTATGGTTTAGGGTTTAGGTTTAAGGCTTAGGGTTTAGGGTGCTGTTACTTTCTACCGCCCCTGAAAGGTACAGTAGCAGGGGTGGGTATCACCCTGGATGATGGCAGCTGAAACCCCTAAACCCTAAACCCTGCGACAACCCAAAACCCCTGCCTCCCCAAAACCGCAAACCTAACGCCGACAGTTAGGGTTTAGGGTGTAGGGTTTAGGGTCTAGGATTTAGGGTTAGGGTTTAGGGTTTAGGGTCCTTCAACCTTAAACCCTGAACCCTAAAACTACAAACCTTATAAGCCTCAAGCTCTAAAGCCCGTAGACCCTAAACCCCAAGCCCTCTGATCCTGCCTGCGCTTCCTCCGCATGCCGAAGCACCTCTGGGGTGTCGGAGACCTGGCCCCAAAGAGCCCGACTGAGGAGCTTGGGAAACCCGAAGCCCTACGAGCTCGATGCGATACCTGTCAGTTACGGTGTATAAGTAGGTGCCTTAATAATTAGAGTAGGTCTTTGGGGACCATTGTGCTGTAATCATAATACGGAACCCCTAAACCCTAAACCCTAAACCCTAAACCAATAGTAATGGCTAATTAATTCAGAGTATTCGTCCACGCGTAGTTCAGGATCCAATGCCAAAGAGGGCTCGCTGATATACATATGAGTATATACGCACATTTATATGCAGATATAGTCGGGTAGATAGATAAATAGATAGATAAATAGATAGCTAGCTAGATAGATAGACAGATAGATAGCTAGACAGATAGATAGATAGATACATAGATAAATAAATCGATAGGTAAATAGATAGCTAGATAGACAGGCAGATAGATAGATAGATAGATAGATAGATAGATAGATAGATAGACAGATAGATAGATAGATAGATAGATAGGTAGGTAGGTAGGTAGGTAGGTAGGTAGGTAGATAGATAGATAGGTCAAAATGGATAGTAGGCGCGAAGTCTGGTTGGCAACCTCCCTAAACCCTAAACCCTAAACCCTAAATGCATGGCTTGGAGCTTGAAGTGCTTGTCATCCGTGGAACAAACTGCAAGGGGCTTAAGAATTAGAGTCCAGTGTAGGCGTGCATGAATGGAAGGGTTTGGGGTTTAGGGTTTAGGGTTTAGGGTTGAGGGTTTAGGGTTTAGGATTTAGGGTTAGGGAAACTTACTACCACATATTCAAACCCCCGCCTCTTCGCCAGGCGGCAATGCAGCTGCCGGATCTGTCGCATAAACAATGTTCAGGTCATCTGTATGCAGAGGTAATGGAAACAGAGTAATGGAAACCCCGCACAAACGCAAAGATTTGCAAGCAAAGACCTCGCAGCAGCTCTTGCGACGGACAACTACAGTACCTTCAGCTGTCTTCAAACGGATCTTAACATTTGGTAACCGCCCAACGTTGACACGCAAGCCCTACCTAAACCTGACCCCTAGTGGTCTGAGTTGCTTGAATTGAATACCCTAAGGGTCCAAGTGCCCAAATAGTAGGGTTTCAAGGTGCAAAAACCATTCAGAGTATTGATTTTGGAACCTAAAACCTTACTGTTTGGGTACTCGGACCCTCTGCGATATATACCCCCTACATGCCCTACCATTACCAGGCTCGTGCAATATACACCAAACGCTTTCAAATTCTTGTGCCCGCGAACCTCCAACCCCGATAATCGAACCCTTCAACCTTCATTCCGAAACTCGAAACCCTAAAACCTAAACCCTAAAACCCTGAAACCCCTCAACCCTAAACCCTAAACCCTAAATCTTACAGTGCCAAAGAAGCCAAAACCAGAGTTGTTTTGCTGGTGGTTTTTTGGGGCTCAAGATGGCCTAAGGCTTCAAGTTCAAGGTTTAGTATAGGGGCCTTAGGGTTTAGGGTTTAGGGTTTAGGGTTTAGAGTTTAGGGTTTAGGGTTTAGGGTTTAGGGTTTAGGGTTTAGGGTTTAGGGGTTTAGGGTTCGGCCTTAATCATTACCAATACTACTTAAGGGGATTCCTTATTATAATTCCGGTATAATATATCCCAAAACCCTATTCTAATTATTGAGGCCCCTAAATTGAGCTGACGTTTAGGGCGTTGGGGGCTTCCCAAGCACACACCTTCGCCCACATCGGGCAAAGGCTCGGCATTCTCACCCGAAGCCGACATGCTGCCACAGCCGAGCCATTGCGGGCGACGCCGGAGCTATTGCCGTGGTCCCGATTTGGCGTTTAGGGTTTAGGGTTTAGGATTTTAGGGTTTAGGATTTTAGGATTTTAGAGTTTAGGGTTTCAAGTTTAGGTGCTTTCCTTTCTGAAGATGCTACTGGCTGGGTCCTGGTTGCTCAAGCTTGTTGGACGCCTGGGTGCGCTTGAACTGTTGGGGTTTGGTTTTGGGCTGTTGGGCTACTATTTCGGGGGTTCCTTCTTATAACTTATAGTATAATATACCCCCCAAAACCCTATTCTGATTATTAAGGCCCCTATATTAAGCTAGTCTGCAGGGCTGCGGTGCAGGTTGAGGCTTCACGGGTAAGCGTGTTGAAATTTCGCAAATACCTTTCACCCGAACTCTAACCTTCGAAGTGAACCCTAACCCCTAAACCCTAAACCCCAAACCCCTTTTAGGGCCCGGGGGTCTGGGCAAATCGAGACCACTGCACGAAGGCAACTCCTAGATATGGACGTGGCCTGACTTAAAGCGGCTACATCGCACCGGAGGCTGCAACATGAAGACTCTTTAGGGGGTTTAGGGTTTAGGGTTTAGGGTTTCCCCCGTTCTGGGACCTGAAAGGGACCCTAATGTTCACAACCACCTCGAGAGATCTGAACACTCGTAATAACATCCCCTGTACAACCCCCAAGAAAGCCTAGCTTATGGCTTAGATGCCTCAGCAACGAAATAAAGTGATATAGGGCTCTGAATGTCTTGTTGTGATACCCCTTCTAGTACCGAAAATGCTAGACTGCTACCCCCCGGACCCCAGTTCAACTCTTGAAGGCCATATACCTAAAGTTTATCGGGGCTCCTTCACAGGTTACTTACCAGGAGATGACTGAGAGCCTTGCAAGATGTCAATGATAGGGTTGGGGCTTTAGCATGTGGGAGCCTTATGGCTGCTCCAGTTCCTCGGCTCTGCGGCATGTGTTCCCGAACCCTAAGACCCTAAAGCCCTAAACCCCTGAACCCTAAACCAACAAAAAAATAAACCCCATCATGCGAAAACCCTGGAGCATTCTGAAACTTATCACGTTTACCCATTCTGAAACTTATCAAGTTTACCCTAAACCCTAAACCCTAAACCCTAAACTCCTAAACTCCTAAACCCTAAACTTCATAAAGCCCTGGAGTCTGCCTTTTGAGGGATCCACACTGCCCTCACTTTCAGACTGAATTCAAGCTTCAGGTAAGGCCTACCGTTGGGGGTGAGACCGTTAGGGTTTAGGGTTTAGGGGTTTGGGGTTTAGGGGTTTAGGGTTTAGGGTTTTAGGGAGGTTTAGGGTTTAGGGTTGTAGGGTTTAGGGTTTGGGGGTTTAGGGTTTAGGGTTTAGGGTCTGAAGACGGCTGAATACAGTTCCAATCTTTGCAACTAGATGGCTTTAGGCTTCGGGGTTGGGCGAAGAGACGCTGCTCAAACACGGCGCAATCTGGGAAGCGCACCAAGGCTCGGGTCGCACTATCCTTTTTCGTCGGACGCTCGGTAGACTGTTGAACTAAGCTTGTCCATCTTCTTTCTGGGACAGTATGCATCAGGACTTGCCACGGTAGGGGGTGCTTTAGACCCCCTAAACCCTAAACCCTAAACCCGAACCCTAAACCCTTGAAGCCCTGAAACCTGAACACTTAGAGGCCCTGTGCCCGTAGCTGGTCTCAACTAAACCAGGGATGAGGGCTTGGGACGATGAGAATAAGTCAGTACGTACGTACGTGAGGACTGTAATGTGATGCCACAACGAACGATTCACATCTAGATACTTGGAAGTGTAAGTCACAATGACTACTGTTTAATGTCTTGTGTTTTCACGAAGTTCATTTGGGGCTTTGTAGCCGTTTCACAGGCTCTATTGTAGAACCCTTGAGACTTTTTTGCTTCTTAGTCTGTACCCTACAGTATCATAGAAGCCGAATAGCCACCTCTTATACAACCCTCTAGAGTACCCTATTATAGGGGCCTGAGCCGTAACCCTGAACCCTAAACTCTAAGCCCTAAGCCCTGAACCCCAAACCGAAAAACCCTAAACCCTGAACCCTAAACTCTAAGCCCAAAGCCCTGAACCCTAAACCCGAAACTCTAAGCCCAAACCCTGCACCCGAAACCCTAAACCCTAAACCCTGAACCGTAAACTCTGAGCTCTAAACCCTGCACCCCAAACCCTAAACCCTGAACCCTAAACTCTAAGCCCCAAGCCCTGAACCCTAAACGTTAAATCCTAAATCCTAAACCCCACAGCCAAAGCCCTAAACCGCTGAGAGGTTGATGTGTCCAAGCCTTACAGCACTAGATCCTGGACCTGGGTTGAGGGTTTTGGGCTTTGGCTTTAGAGCTTTAGAGCTTTGGGGCTCTAGGGCTGTAGGGCTTCAGGGCTTTAGGAATTTAGGGCTGTAGGAATTTAGTACTTAGGGATTTAGGAATTTAGGGCTTTAGCGGTTTATAGGCTTTAGGGGTTTAGGGTTTAGGGTTTAAGGTTCCAGGGTTTTGGGTTTGTGGTTCAGGGTTTAGGAGTTGCAGAGTCTCTGAATCATAGGCGTAATCTATGTGGGCAACTCAGAAAGCATCAGCTGCTGAGGGAGACGACACAGCCTGGTCGCTACACCGCTACGGATGCCAGCACACCATGGTCAGCATATGCATGGTTTCAGTGCTAAGGCTCGCAATGGCATCAGCATGAAGTATGGACTACCATCACTGCCGCTGCCCACTAATGCGACTACGACTGCGACTGCCACTGCCACTAACACTGCTGGTGGGACTGCGCTCCTCATCCTCCTCCTATAACGTAAACCCCATACCCTCCTCCTCCTGCTCCTACGCCTAAACCCTACCTTAAGAACCCAAACCTACTTTTTTGTAGGGTCCCTATAAATCCCATAATAGGGCTTATAATAAGAACCTACAAAAAACTGGGTTTTAGGCTCTTAAGGTAAACCCTAAACCCTAAACACCTCCGGGTTTTGCAAGTGGCTTCTGAGAAGACGCCGTAGAGAGGTCTCGGATCTAAGGTTCTCCTTTTTGGGACAACTCTGTTTCAGGGAGGGAAGGTTTCGGCGTTTTCAGTCGCCTCAGCCTCAGACCGGACATTCTACGTCCTTCGTAAACCCGTGAGATAAACACGCAATCTAAGTAACAATCCTCTTAAAGCCGTGAACGCGTTGTAGAATCTATATAACAACCCGATGCTAGACTCTTCCCTGGGCAGCTCTCTGTATGAGGGTCGCCTTTAACATCCAAAAGATAGTACGGAGGGGACCCTAATTTTGAGAACTACCCTTTTCATAGTAGAGCTCCTAACGATCCCCTGTTGCTCCCTATGCTGAAACCCTAAACTGTTTAGGGTTTAGGGCTTAGGGTTCTAAACCCTAAACCCTGAACTTCCTGAACCCTAAAACCCAAACCATAAATTAAACCCTGAACTTCCTGAACCCTGAACCCTAAACCCTAAGCCCTGAACCCTAAACCCCAAACCATAAACCAAACCCTGAACTTCCTGAACCCTGAACCCTAAACCCTGAACCCTGAACTTCCTGAACCCTAAATCCTGAACCCTGAACCCCAAACCCTGAACCATAAACCAAACCCTGAGCCCTAAACCCTGAACTTCCTGAACCCTAAACCCTAAACCCTGAACCTTGGTGCTCAGGGTTCTAGCATTCGGGGCTTAGGGTTGGGTGTTCAGGGTGTACAGTATTGGATTTGGGTTCAAAGCTCTGCCGGGACAGTCTCATGGTTGCATCAGGGCTGTTTGGTGCCTGGTAAGGGTGCTATAGGATTTTGCACGTCCCGACCTGCAATCACACGCTTTGCATCTCAACTCCTGCAATCTTGAACCCCAGGCCAATGAGCACTAAAGCGGGGTTGTCCTTATGAAGCATCTGCCATGCCCACTGCAATGTAAACCCACGGGGATTTACTAACAGCAAAGCAGTCATAGGGTCATAGAGGGGCTCGTGGAGAATGTTAGAGCATAGATCCCTTAACCCTAAACCCGCGAAGGAACCCTGACAGTAATATAGAGGCCTTAATAATTACCTATACTGTTATTTTGGGGGGTTCCTTATTATAACTACAGTATTATGGGCCCCAAAACCTTATTCTAACTATTAAGGCCCCTATATTAACCCTAAGCCTGCGCTTCTCGAAGGTGGGATTCAGCGGGGAACACCATCAGCGACGCCTGGCCTCTCGGACGACTTGGAGGGAAAATGTGGGACTGCATTGAAAAGTGAGGTCCTGCAGAAGTGTAGTTTAGGGTTTGGGGTTAGAGGTTAGGGTTCAATAAACCCTAAACCCTAAACCCTGTATGTAGGTGAGTTTTCTTTCATCATTTTCAAGATGAACCTTCATCTCCTCCCAAACCCTGAAACCTCGAGGCCTCTGATAAACCCTATAAACCCCATGCATGTGCTTTGCTTTGTTTAGGGCTTGCTGGTGTGCCCCTAAGCTTAGTAAGCAAGCCTGCTCAGAACAGCTGATGCATAGCCTAATACATCCGAGTAATTTGTACTGATATCATCATCTCAAAGTGCGGATGTGTCTGTCTATCGGTCTATGACTTCCAACTGCATACCTGTGTAGCTGTCCACCCGTCCATCTATCTACCTATCTATCTATCCGCTCTATCTGTCTATCCGTTTATCGATGTGTACATATATAGATGTATGTACACACAGATGTATAGATGTATGTATGTATGTATGTATGTATGTATGTATGTACGTAGGTATGTATGTATGAATGTTAATTCTAAGCCCTGAACCGTATGTATGCATCTATGTATGCATCTATGTGGGAGTTTCCGAAAATAGGGGGACCCTAATCTAGTACCCTAAATAATAGGATCCTTTTTATAAGGACCCCAAAATAAGGTACCCTAATTTTGGGGGACCCGAATATAGTACCCTAAATGATAGGATCCTTTTTATAAGGACCCCAAAAAAAGGTACCCTAATTT